GCATGAATTTTTATTTAAGTTTGTGTAAAAGATTTACGGAAAGAGTTTATATTGAATTTCTAAAATATTAAAAAAAATAAATTATTTATTTATATTTGAATAAATTAGTTAAATCAAATATAGTAATTACAAATTATAGAGTCTAAAAAATTATATTTTTAAAATGATAAATTTTAGAAAAATAAATAGCAATAGTAAAAATTATATTCATAAATATTACTATCTAGATAACCTACCTATGATGACCAGATTTAGATTTTAAAAAAGATATATTTACTAATTCTTATATATACTCTTACCCAATCTAATATTTAATTTTAACTAATACAAATTTAATTTGAAACACAGCATGTGCATTATTATGCTGTTATATATGATACTTTTTGATCAATAATCCAAATTTTATTATATTTTATTTATTTATAAGTTAATAACAACAATTATTTCCTTAAAGTTAACCTTAAGATTTAGAGCTAAATAAAATAGAGCATCAGAAATATTTGGCAGTAATAATAGTGTTAATAAACTACTTACATAGATACAGTATTTAATTAAAGTTTTAATGATGAAATATTAAAAAGAAAAAATCTTAACACTCTAACAATAAATTTATTTAAATATTTAGATAGGTTTATTTTACATAAATCATATTAATCTATAGATAAATACTATTAAAAAAAACAAAATTTTAGGCTTTGAATTTTCAAGGCTGAATTTATTTACTTTAAAGCTCAAAAAGCTAGAAATCTAGTTAAATAAGCAACATGCTATGCTTAATAGCCACTTGCAAAATATTTTGATTTACTAACATGGCTCAATTTTTTCTAAAATCTTAGAGAGCTTGATCTTCACTGAATTTTGACTTTTCCCAGGATTACAATTTTTACCTTATAATATGGATTCGAAATTAGCTTATTTACCTAGTGTTCTATTCTTAGCTAAACTTAAACAACATTATGAATTAAGACAATTAGATTTTGAAGATAGTTTAATTAAAGCAGCATTAAATAATTTCTGTCAAAACATTTATCTAAATCAATTTTCAAACCAATTTTATCATGCTTTTGGTAAAAGTCAAGTTGTTGATATTGAAAAAATTCAGGGTAGTAATGATATTTGAACTGTAACAGCTCAAGATATTTTAATCTATTATATAGACCAAGTAATCCAAATAAAAAGAATGAAAAGGATTTCATAAAGAGAGCTTGATATTGGCATAGATATGATTTTAAATCAAAACATAGTATATTTATTTTAACAATTACAAATCTTTTTACATAAAGGTGGTATTTTAATAGAAGCTAACACAACTGCTTTTGATTCTTATCTTAATTCATACCCTTTTGAAATTAGGATTCCAAGATCATTGAAAAAAAGATTATTATGTCTGCAAAATATGATAAGATGCAAGACACTTACATTTTTGGTATCACCAAATACGCTCATAAAATCTTTTCTATTTTTGTATATAATATAACTATATATAATAAATTAATTACAGAATATTTTAATAAATTTATCACCTATAAAAATCTATATTAATAATTATAGCGATTTATTATTTTTATACAATAAACTAGTCTTAATTAATAGTAATCATCAGTGTTGTACATTTTGACTGTCCAAAGGCTTTTTTGGTACTGTCCAATGTCTAAATATCCAAGTATCCACAAGT